CCGTCCGGAACATCGTTCAGATAAACTTCGAGATAGGATAGAGAGCAGCATGACGGGCGATATGTAGATCAGGCCTACCGCGACGATTTGATTTGTCGCACCAGAGGTGGCGACAAAGCAGTGCTGGTTGTCGCTGTCTGTTTGCAAATGAACTTTTCACAGTAATTTGACGCGCGCTCTTAGTATGTAAAGGGTCTGTCATTTTACTGCCTGGGAACACATTAATGTTTGCTAGCGATGACTCGGCACCTCCATAGCAAACAGAAGACTGCCATTAGGCGTGAATTATGGCGCTGAGTATTGTTGCCTCGGTCTGTTGGAATGCGCCTTCGGAAACGAGGAGGGAAGAGACCATTTCGATGACGGAGGTGGGAGGGAGGAATAAAAATGGATCATAAAGAAGTGGGGTGCGAGGAAGTTTGATCTGGCTCAGGGCAGGGGGGCTGTTGTGAACACGGTGATGAATCTATTGCTTCCGTTAGAGCGAGGTTTCTTCAGTAGATGAGGGCATCAAGATGGACTTCGGTCGATGGAGTTAGCTTCAGTTGAATTCACCACGAATAAACCACACACACACACACACACACACAATTATGCGGCAGTCTTTCCCTGTGAAATGAAGAAATGAGGCTAGAAGTGTAATTGTTCTGAACACAACGAAGAGCGAGGTCGAAGAATGACCAAGAGACGACTGTACGGACGACACGGGCGGCAAGCAGGCAATCACGTCTCCCGCTTCGTCGCTAGGCAGCGAATATAATCGTAGAATGCAGCAGCGAACTTACGAAACAACATGCCATTGGGATTCTCGGGGAAGTTCAGCGGATAAAGCAAAGTTGCAGCGATATAATTGGCGTAATTGAGTCCAAGGGCGGTACAAACAACTTGTGTGTAACTATCACATGAATGAAGCAAGAGTTGATCTAATTAACTCTCAAGTTTGAAGGAATTGTTCAGAGGATGCAGGCAGCAGTTGTGGTCTGGCCGTGCTGACAGCGCGATTTTGCTCCTCGACCGCTGCCAGAGTGACTAGTGAGTGCGAAGTTGGAACTGTGGCCCGTCCAATCAAGGCGCTTGTCACACCTCGCTAGACGGTACCAAGATCGTACAAATGTTGGTCAATTAGTTTAAACCTTGCGGCATTCAGATGTACGTATTGGATTCCACAGTACGTGGAATTATCTTGGGATTGTTCTGTTTTGTCGTCTTATGCGAGGTGAAGTCAGAACGTGAGTTCGCAGGAGCAGGCGATACCAGTCCACAACTTCACGCCGCCTTTCCTTAAGGTCCGTTCTTATGTTGTCCTCCGACCTACGCCTATGATTTCCGAGTGCCCTCTCTCGAACGAAAGTTGTGTGGCACGTCTCATCGCTACATACCCCGCACATCTTCTTGCCAACCTTGATTTGATCGTGCTAACAACATTTCGTGGAGAGAGCAAACTGTGGAGCTCCTCACTATGCGCTATCGGCCTTGTCCTCAGCAGCCCGTCTTTGATAGATTCACCGACGCTTCGATAAGATAATGTAGCGCCATTGTACTGCACGCAACCTACTTCGTGGGGCTTTTTGTGCTGTCACCGAAGACACGTGTCCTGCTCTTCAAACGACTGTGTCGCGGCTCCTCCCACGTGCCTCCTGAAGGTGATTTGCCTTCTCCTGTTTTCCCTGTCCCCAAAAGCTTCATCCGAGAGGCATACATTGATGGCGATTTGGGAATAACGTTAAGACGACGTTTGAAACAACGGGTCACTGGCCACCATGCAGGAGAGCGAACAAAGCTCGCTCACTGTACCGTGTGATAGGTGCCCCAGACGCCAGGGGGACTGTGTGCAAAATAGTTTTTTGGTCGTGCGCTGACTGTATGCAGTCCATTTCACAGTGAGTGAATAGTTTCAGAATACGTCATTCCTTGTAGACTTACGTCGTATCCTTTCCGTTAGAAAATGGAGGAGGTAAAGTTCTTCAGTTTGGCGACTCTGTGTGTATGAGATGGACTGTGCATGTAGAATGCATGGGATAAATAAAAATACCTCACTTGAGTGACATGGGCGTGGGTGAGAGAAGATTTGCGGATGTTTGGACTCAGCTGGCTCGTTATGGGGCTAATTGCGTGATCTTATGAGGGCACTGATGTTCCTACCTTTGGGTTTCGTGGATGGGGCAGGGACGAGGTGGGTGAATCCGGTCTCAGCACTTCTCAAGGAAGACTTCGCTCCACGGAGTCGGCAGATGGGCATTTCTGTGTTGTCTCTCAGCTCCAAGTTCAGAACAGCCGAAATGTCGAATTTGGAGAACGGTGTCGATGTGAGGTAACAGATTAAATTGTTCCGATAATTTTATTGATCACGGAATTTGCCGAAATGGACGGAAGTTTTAGTAAGAATAGGAAATTATATTGTGATCAAGAGTTTAATTTGCTGGTTAGTACAGATAATTGTTGACGTTTAAATAACGTTGCCCTGATATTGTTCATTCGTTGATTAAACCAATGGGCCAGGTTTTCTGGTTTAAATGCTAATATATACGATCCTACGTATTGTGGCTTCCATGAAAGTTGATGACGTTAATTAGTGGCGTCATTGTCGTCCTGTGGCCGCTGTGCTGACCGCCACCCCACCCCCCACCCCACCAGTTGCCGGCCACAGCAAAACACGACTCGTACGCAGACCAACAGTAACTTCTGGGATTCGTTTCGGCTGTGAGACCTGACGTAGCCTTCGGGAAGGTTTCCTGCAACTATTTTTAAGCGCCATTAATCGCGAACACGCATTTTAAGTCTGTTCTTTTTAGAACGAAGAGTTGTCGTTGAAGTTTAATTATGGCTGCATGTAAAATACGGTGTTCAGTACACCGATGTGTGCCAATTTTAACGGCAACTTTCAGCGCAGATCTACCACCCATAATGTATTATTTCCTAAACATTCCTTTACTAGTTTCGGAGATTAAATACGTCGACGGCCGTGCTCAGTCACCCCGTTATGTGCCCAGTTTATGCAAAGACTTGGACATTGCGTACGCGTGTACACCCGGACAGCTGGTATTTCGGTTGAGCTTCGAACTGAATACTCCCACTGCATCACAGCATCCGCCGCGTTGGTGGTGATCCCAGAGGGGGAGGCGGGAGTTGCGATGCTGCGGAAATAATATCTGAGATGTGACCTTATATTCGCGTGCGGTGGACACGAAACTGTTTTCGTACTCGTTAGTGTTCTGTCAGAATAACACAGCAGTGGACAGCAGCGCTTCGAATTGCAGACGGGACGGATTCCCCGTTCCCTCGACACTGCTACAGACCGCATGACAGCCAAGTGCCTGATGGGAATTGGAGTCGTGCGAAGTAAAAACGAGTCTCTGAGAATTCATTGGATCGGTATCGGAATTCACTGCCTTCGCGTTACTCGCTAGATAAGTTTGTTCGGTTCAATGCCGTTATCGTCGTGATTTATTATTCTTCCCATCTGGCATCAAAGTAAAATCACCGATGAACAGAAAGCTCTAAATGACTGGAATTACTGGACCACGTATTGCTGTTATGTTTTCCGTTTCGTGTTCGAGGGTGGGTGGGGGTTCCCCTCCCTGTTTCGAATCGCGACCAAGGTTGCGATTTTCCCGAGTTTCTACATGGTTTTCCTCATGTTATCGAAGCACTTTATACAGTATGGTACCTTATTATGTGGTCCACGACAGTTCGCAGAGTAATCTGGCGTAATCTTTATGTTTTTCCTCATTCGACGTAAAATAACTTATGCAGTTGACATCACTTCGTTAAACATCGAGAAACGAATAAACGTCTGTGGTCTGCCAGTGGTCAATGGATCCGTTATTTGGAAAGGTCGATATTCACCAGAAATTCTCGAGTTATATTTACATAAATCTTACTGTAATGCTTTGCCTGTCTTTGAAGTGTCTGTGACTGAATATCTGTTCTCACAGATGGACGTGTGAGTGGTTGACACAAGACGCCCACTCGTCTTCGTTGCATATAAGAAAGGTTAGATTATCTCTCACGGATTATCGAATTTAAGATTCAGGCGACTTGGCCACAAAGCCCTAAAAATCTTGTGGTGAGATGATGTGTGTTTTCATCTCCGTTCTCCGCTGCCTTGTACAAAGGTTGAAGCTTCGTATTGTAGGATGAAGGCCGTGGAAACATTTTCAACGATTCTTAGAAGGCGTTGTTTGCTGGTTACGAAATTCTGGATTCGTACGGGCAGAAAAGAGTAAGGAAACGAAGAAAATGTGTCTGTAATTTAGAGGGCGGAGGAAACTCATCCTTTTGGCGTGGCGGTAAGAGCACTTGAAGTAGGCTGAGAACGTAATGTATGGCGGCGGATTAATCCCCTCTATGCAGTCCAGCAGCAGTTGGACTTAACTGAGACATTCTTCCTTTGTTGTCCGTCGGTGTCAGCATCCATTTTCCTTGCCTGAACAATAAAGTCTCTCCGTTCTATATACAGAGTTATCCGGAAGGTCCTCTTTCATCTGCTCGGCATTAGGAGGGGTTGTACCAAAGTATCTTTAAAAGCGTCACACCGTGTGTCCGAGAGGTCCGCCCGCTTCACGCGCAACACCGGGTGTCCGCAAAACTCTGCGGCTCTGTTGTTGCTGATTTTTTGTTTTTTCCTTCCTTCCTTCCTTCCTTCCTTGATGATAACCCGTTGTGATATTACGGTTTGGTGAACCCGGCAACGACAGAGGATCTTGTTCCGGCTGTTGTGTTCAGAGCGGACCTGCTACTTTCACCACGATGATAGAACGAATGCAACGCCTTCAAGTCGAAAATGACTGTTTTGTGGTCGTACCATTGCCTTCACTGTGGAGGCGGGTGTTCGATCAGAGTCTTATTATAGCTTAAT